AGCTACCAAAGAGGTGGGGTGCGCTTTGCAGTTCTGCATGGGCTTGGTGCAGGCACCAGTGGCCATTGCAGTCCTGCCAGGTCCTGAGACCACCTCAGCTGTTCCCGCCTGAGAGCATTCCAGCCCAGGAGGACACTACATCTGAAAATGCACTTCTGGAAGTTGAGCCTTGACCTGCTAGAGTTGCAAAGTAAAACTCACGAGAGTAGTACAGAGAATGTACAGCACTACACTAGCAAAAAGAGCGTGTTTTCCCCCTAACCGAGATGTAGGTAAGAACACTGCAGGGCAGTATTTCAGATAGGAAATGTAACAGAACTCATTAAGAGGTTTATCCTTTTTACACTGTCGTTTAAACTTCAGAATGTAAATATACTAGAACACTTTGTAATCACAAAGTAGAGGGTATGTGGAATTCATTGTGAATAGACAAGACATATAACTGAATGTGTGTTTAGTGTGACAAATCTTGTATTGATTTTAATAGACGACTGGCTTACAGGGATTCAGATCAATTACATTACACATTAATCTCAGTAAATGCATCTATGTTTTGTTACTGTAACTGGAAGTCTTGAGGCAACTTTCTCCTTTTTTTGTAACTGTATGTATATATGTGTAACTTTTAAAACTAATATTTTGAGGGGGGGATTGTTGGGTTTGGGTTTTTTTGGAATATAGTAATGAAATGTGTTTTTAAAAATGTACTAGACATGCCACAAAATGTATTAAAGGTGAATGCTCTGGATCATGTTCACTTTTGTTAAAGACCTGCATTATTTTTAGTGATTGTCTCGCGCTGGAAGAATGTGAGGTGCTTAGGGACATGGTTTAGTGGGCACGGTGGTGTTGGGTTGACAGTTGGACTCGATGATCTTAGAGGTCTTTTCCAACCTTAATGATTCTATGATTCTATGAATGTAATGTTTACCCTTCATCTTCTGTAAGAGGCATAGTACTGGGGGGCGCAGCCGGTCATCAGTTTTGCCCGACAGCAGTTCTTCAGTTGTGCTTTTAGATTTTGCAAAAGTGCCTCCTAAATCATGTACAGACACTGGTTCGAGGGCCAGAGGGTCTGTTGCGTAGCATTCATGTCTGCTTCCCATTAGAAACGTATGCTTTCGTGCTTCCCTGGTGTCACATTAATTCAGAATGGTGCCTTTACGTATATTCTTAGGTCTCAAACTATGCCCTTAATCCCATCTAGCTGGGAACCCAGCTGCAGATGTGGCTAGCAGGTATGTGTGAATTGTCTGAGAAGATGGTATTTCGTCTGCAGTGTGGCATCCGAGACTGAAATAGTAAGACAGGAAGGGAGGGCTAATAGGAATTTGTCAATCCTCCTGCACTTGTTGTTCAGCACTCTTGTGTAACTGTATTGGTATTTCTAGTAGCAACAGTCATGAAGTTTTTAATTGCTGTGATTGCAGTAGTGCAAACTGGCTTTCACGGTGATTTGTGCTCCATGGTGCCAGGCAGAGCAGCTAGCTAGAAAGGAGAAATTTTCCTTCTGGAGAAAATGTCAATTCTGGACAAAAAGGAAAAAGCAAAAATGTTGTTTTGTCAGAGTGGAAATTCTAAACAATACTTTGGGTTTGGTTCTCTTTCTTTTTGTTTGTTTCAGTGATCACCCACCTAAAAAAGCTAAATCGGGCAGTTGCTATACCAAGGAGAACCGCTTACCCACCCCAAACACGAATGCAGCTGAACAACCAAGGTGCCTGCAGCAACTTAAAGTTGCTGTACTACAGGGTCCTGGGCAAGCTCCCGTGGCGTTAGTCTCTTGCCAAAGTCTCACATTAAATAAGCACACAGACACTTATATACTTGCACCTGGTGAATCATTCATGCCTGGCTTCACAGCCAGTGTCAACAACTTTAAGATTTCCAAGTGCTGGATTCACAACATGAAAAATGTCATGGGATAGCCACTCCCTGCCACCCATTACAGGGCCCTCAAGACTGATAGCTATCACTGAGAACATTGGTTTCCACTGGTCATGTCCTAGTGAGAACGGGCAGCAGAGCTGAGGACAGAGCCGTGCTGTGGGTTCCCTAGTTGTGGACGCCAGCTAACGATGGTTCAGGTTACTTAGCCTCTTTTCACATTGTGGTGGGGCCGGGCTTAACCCTGAATGAGAAGGAAAGAATCACCACCTCCTGCAGTCCGAGTTTTCTGTAGTGGTTTCCCAAACGCAGAGCAAGCCTGGCCCTGCTTAGCTTCTCCTGAGCATTAAAACCAGAATGCAGGTCACAGGCACCTGCCTCTGAAAAAACACTTGCCTGGGGTGTTGGGCACCAGTGAGGAAGGTAATGTATCAAGGCGGGAGATTCCTCATTCTTTGCTGTAACCCTTTCAGCTGGGCTGTCCGTTCCTTTCCCTTGATTTGCTGCGATTGAACAGTATGTGCTGTCACTGATGGTATAAACCAGCTAGCTGCAGGGATTCATACTTTAGTGGGCAGCTTGCCACATACATAGACATAACGCTAAAGGCTACATACCTCTCTTATTCAAGGAGAGTAATAAGAAGATTTTATTTGACTTGTATAAATCCACTTTAATTGGCTTTCCCGCTGACACTTTCATTAACATGTAAATTAGCTGTCCTAGAGCTGTTAATTATCTTTGCAGAAAATGTTGGATATGGTCATATAATGTACTCTTTCTTTTTTACTGCTCTTCATGTTTTATACTGAAACATGCCCATAAACATTCACTGTATTATTTTTTTTAGAAGGAGGACGAAGAGGCTAAGGCTCTGTGTCATCTTGTAGGGAAACAACTATCTTGCTTCAGCATTATTCACCAGCCTGCTACCACGTTAAAGTAAGCTTCCCTTACGTAAGAAGCTTAGCACTGGGTTTTATTGGTTTGGCCTTTGCAGGTTTTGGGGATTTTTTTAGAGTGTCTGGCAAACGAGGGAGCAGAGGAGGATGGCAGGTGCTCAGACAAAGGCAGCATCCTCTCTTACAGGATGCCCTGTGTTGAAAATTTGGCAGCGACAGTGAAACAGGTAGGCATTGCAAGTAAGAAAATGGCTGAATTCCCAGTTTCCAAGGAGCTGAGAACAAGCCAATTGATTTTCCTGTGGAAAAAAAAGACCTCTGAACTTTTTTAATACATCTTTTCTGCAAAAAAAAAAAATCAGAAAACAAGGGTTTTTTCAGCTTCACCAACTGCTTAAAACTGCTCTCCTTCTTTTAATAATAAAAGGTCTTGATGCTTCTAGTAACAAGTTACCATGACAAGTTGCAACCTGTTTATCGTTTTTAACTGCCTGCTTTGAACAAATGGCATCTATAGTGTATGGTTTTACTGCACAGGCAAGGCAAAGCCTGTGCAGCTAGAGCAGATAACGGACACATTTAGCACCACGGATTATCCTCGTCAAAATCTTGGGCTTCTGAGAAGCGAGACTGCTGGCTCGCTAATAAATGAGAGATGACTTCATTATGAAGGTCAAGTCTGCGCTGAGCTGAGCAGCAATACTTCATGAGTCAGCCCACCACGGTAAGTGACCTATAGACTCACCTGAAACACTTGTCCTATAGGCTCTGGTGGAATGCTGGGTAAGTGTAAGGGAGAAGCAAAGCAGGCACGCAGGAGTACTTGCCTGGAGTTTCTACAGTGGTTAACGGGGTGCTTCCCCGAGGTAGGCTGTCATAGTCTGAACCATTGAACATGATCATCGTTCAAACCTCTTGTTTGCAAGAACCTGCATAGAGCAGATTATAGTCGTTGCTTGTCTGTTAGTCTTATTCTGTGCGTTGCAACTGCCTCCTAGGTACACTCCCTGTATGGATGCACAGTGCACCTGAGCAACAGCTTTATTTACAGCAGTGCACGTGCTTCTTGAATTTGTCCTCAGTCTTAAATGCCCTCTGCTGCAGCACAGCTTTACCACAGCTGCTGAAGTGAATGGGAAGCACACGGCAGCTCCTTCCCTGGAACAAAACAGACCGCGTAGCTGACGATCAGCAGAAATGCACAGCGAGAGCAGTAGCTCTACATGCTTCCGCCCCCTACCAGCCTACCAGTTTGGTGTCCAAGTTGAGCTTTACTGTGAGCGGGCAAACTCATTATTAGGCCGTAAGCGACTGTTCCTCTCTGCGGGAGGGTTCTGCCATCCCCAGTTGTGTGCTTGTGGCTTAGTTTCAGGACCTAACAGCCTGTGTTGCATGTGCATAAAGTTAGGTTCCGGGACCAGCTCTTTTCCTCATCTGCACTGTGATAATAAAAGACTGACGTGGCATTTTCTTACAAAGCAGCAGAATGGGAACAGGGACACAACTACTGAATTACTAAACCGCCTTTAGCATAAGACATTAATATGCTAATGATCTATGTCATCAGCTGGTCTCAACTATTCACCATATTTCCACAGTATTCGCATAGACAATAGTGTTTCTATTTGCACAGAAACTATAGCGTTTCTTCGAGAAGGGACTGTCATTGTCCACATGCTATGTCTGTACTGTAAAGTATGTTGTTTGGCATTGGCAAGCTGTGAACAAAAACCAGGGTGAGTTTTGGAACTGCTGTAGAAAACCAACTAGGATGGTAGGTCAGAGCAGTATTTTGAGGTGACCCAGTCCTTTTAGAATAGCTGAGGTGTGTTATTGCCGTGCCGTTAACAGCACAGCACCGCGAAGAGGTCTGTTGAAATACAGGGTTCGCTAGCCAGGTCTGGAGTAAGAACAGGCGTTTCTGGCTGATGTGGGGGCACCACCTCTCATGGTTCCGCTTTACAGCCTCATAGTACACACCTTTTGTTTTAACACAGGAATGAGTTTAACAAGGTAAGTACTAACACCGCAAGATCTGTTAAGATCTACAAGAAGATACTGTCTAAGCCTTGTTTCCACAGCAGAAACTTAGTAGCGGAACAATACTGGTGTTACTGCTGTAGTTAGTTACACTGGTATATATTCCCCTTTTAGATGTTTGTTCCAGAATAACTGTAGCAGTCTAACTATTCAAGATAAGGGTTCTTTATTTCAAGTGTCAGAAATTGATTAATATATAAATTTCACAGGAAAATGTGTTTCTTAACATTTTTTTCCATACATCATTACATGTTCTTACATATGATTTGTACCTGAAATGAAATAAAACATCTTAAAATGGATTAATAAAAAGAAATAACTTAGAATAAAGAACTTTTCAAACAAGCTGTAGATGATGTTAGGTTGTATATACTCTATACACTTCCCTCCAGGGGCAGTATCTTTATCTCTAAACATGAAAGTGAAACGTAGCATGGACAGATGATCTATTTCCTTAAATAAAAATCTTTGTGCAAAAGATCTATTTTTATTTTGCATCATAATTCTGATTTCTATAGGAACATTAAGGGGACAAAACTTTACAACTCTAAATCAGTATTTGTCTTCATCAAGGTATTTTTGTTTTGTTCTAAGACAAGCAGTTTGTTGAACCCTTCTGACAGTGCGCTACTGTCTTCGTCATCACTAAATGTAACCCAGTGACTGAAATCTTTCAAGGTGGGGAGTTTTAAATTTTCTGGAGCGTGTGCTGGAGAAGTAGCCGATGCCGCCTGTATGGCAAGAGGGCAGGAAGAATCTGTGTCCAGGTCCAAAAGATTGGTGTTCTCTGGAAGGGAGCTGGTATCTGAGAGCTGTGGATGCTGGCCTTCTGGTACAGGAGGGCCCTGAAGGTCAGCCATCAAGTCTGCAGCTTTTGATGCCAGCTGCTTAGTTGTGGTGTTTTCTGGGCTGGCAGAGGATGTAGGAGCTGAGAGAGCAGACTGCGCAGGGACACGAGAGTCCTGAGTCTGGGGGAGGAACCCAGGATTGTTGTTGTTGGAGTTGAACATTAACTCACTAAAAAGTGGGTTGTCACTGCTCTGGAGAACTTGCAGATGAAGAGCTGCAGGAGCTGACTTCTTTCTTCGCGGCGGCACCTTTGGGGCAAAGGAAGCATTCTGGGGAGGCAGCGTGATGGCCTCAGCCATGCTTCCTGAGGGGGGCTGCCTTTCACTGCTCCCCCTGCTCTCCTGAGGCTTCCCAGGTTGTGGTGTTCTGGGTTTAGGGACTGGAGTAATCCTGGTCGGACTAAGAATAGGTCTGGCCTCTAGGCAGGGCTCTGGCAAGCCAAAAGGAGACTCTACTGTCTGTTGGTCAAATTGCTCTTCCATAGACATAGCCTGAGGGGGGAAAAGAACAAGAAATTTGAGAACAAAAACGGTACCTTAAACTGAGTCACTTCTAGTGCAAGTCTTATTGATGGCGTTACTGAGAAAAGCTGACAGTACTGGAAGAAAAAAAAAGGCAGTACAAAGAGGAGGCTTGACAGCACAGGTTTGCACTGTACCCGCTTGGTTCTGTTCTCGTGCATCGTGCCTCGGACCAGCGTTCATTTACAGAGTGCTATTTGAGGACAAGGATCCTACAGCCTGTTCGCTCCCTGTACGAGAAATACATCTCTTTCTGACCATCTCTCGCTCATGTTATGATTTTGCTCCAGGCCAATTTAACACAGTTCTGAAGTGTTACTTATTTGTTACATCTCTCTGCTGACTAATACTATTTAAGCAAGAATGCACAGGGAGGGGCTAAATTCATGGGGCCATTAGCACATGCCTTTGCCTATGTTCTGATACATAAGGTTGAAGGACAATTAGCTTAAGCGTTACCCAAGAAATGCATTGATGGCTCTGTCGTGTCTCACTGATGCTAGGAACAGAAGCTAAAAGTAAGCTCTCAAAGTACAGTCTAGCATATATTCAACATTTAAAAATATATAAATAACTGGAACCCAGCTCAGTCCAAGAGGGCAAGGGCTGCTTCAGATTTCTCATGCTCAGTGTGACTGAATGAAAGCATTTTAATTCTTTATTACTCTCCCATAGTATTAAAAGATAATATACAGGCTTTTTAACGCAGTCAAAATATTTAGTCAATATTTCATGACGGACATATCCCCCGCCACTTCTGCCTATATGCTGCTGTTAAGTTGCCTACGTTTGATTGCATGCTTTTTTAATGATCGAGGTGGATTGGGTAGAGGTTTTCAAGTACACAACTCCCATCTGAACTCACTCAGATGGAGGAAGGAGTGGAAGTCTGAAGCAGAGTCAAACTGAAATAGATATATTCCTGCAGGAGATTTCATATAACTAACACCACAACAGCAATCCCTCTCGGCACCTTTCAGGAGTGCCCTGGGAATGGTGACAACATAAACAAAATAAACAGACCTTTCCTTATTATTCAGTGTTTAAGGAAAGGGCACATGCTGTGTTGTCTGTTTTTTTTTTCTTTTGTGAATCTGCTCAGCAGAGATGGCACAAAGTCCATGATAGCGAAGGGGTGAATGCCTTTACAAAGGAAGGTAAGGCAGGAGTCCTAACAACTCAGAACAGAGCTTCCTAGCAGAGGTTCTGTCAAAGGGAGAATATGAAAGGTTATATTTGTCTTTCTCTTGTACTTAAATTGCTTTCACCGTTAAATACTCATTTTAGCAGCTCTAGAAGTGAAGAACTCTTTCTTACCTCCATTTTAGAGACCTGACAGAGAGACAGATTAAAACCCCGACACCTACAGGTTTGTATTTTTAAGAACCTGAACTCTTGAGCAGAATCCAGAATCCAAAGTGAAAGGCTGAATCCCGTTACAAGGTGTGTGAGAAAAGTTCAATGTTTCTGAACAGGACGCAGAACAGCATGCCGATCAAGAAGCTGCCTCAAATCAGTACAGAGCAAACCACTCATGATGTGGTCAAAAGTAGACACTGTGATAAAGAAGGGATGAGTCTTAAATCCTGACAAGGGTTTAGACAAACCAGGAGAAAAGTAACAAAATCTAAGAGAATGGACTGATGAATAGAAAAGCTGAATACAGCTGAATAAGGAAGTCAAAGCTCTTTTTCCTTTCCGATTGCCTAGTACATTTTTATGCCTTGATGGCTACAATACACAAAATCATTTCAGTGCCCGCTGGCTAAGAGCTTCAAATGACAGGACTTCACACAAACTGTTTAACAGCCCACCCCTCTTGCCATCGTGCACACTGTGTAATGGAGGCTGGATGCATTTTGCTGCAACTCTCTTACATTTTCCACCTTGACTCCGGTCCTTTGCAGAGGTACTGGCTTCTTCGTAGTTGGAACTTTGGGCGGTGGGCGATGGGGCACAAGCACTGGTTCTACCTGCGACCCTTGAAATGATGCTGACTTTGTGATGCTGGGAAGAGGCTCGGGTTTGGTGAACGTTTGGTTTCTAGTTGGAGCAGGCTTTGGTGCATCTTCCTGTAGTCCTGAGAAGCAAAAACAATTAGCGCCTTGGCTTGATCAGTATGTAGCTTGAAGGTAATTTCTTTCACAACCATGTTTCCCAAAATGTGCATGCCTAAAGGGAATGCGCATAGGCCGGGAAGGTAGGTTTTAAAAATAAACGCAGACCTTTGCAATCCTGTCACATTTGTAAGAGGCAGTTAGGGAAAAACTCCCCCGTCTGAAATAATTTCATGCCAAAACAGCAGTGCTGTGCCACCATTTGGCCAAGTGGATAAAACACTGGCTGGGGGTTCAGGAGTATTGGACTCAAGTCCTGAGTCTCTTTTTGCCCTCGTTTCCTTATGTGGATAATCAAGATAATGATACCGAGCGCATCTTGTAGAGTACTTTGGGAAGAACTGTAAATGCCAGCTGGTGGTACAGCACAAGGGACTGAAAGTGATGCTGACCGGACTAGTTTTCTTACCCACACTGAGTGAAATGCTTAATGTGAATTTCAAAATTAATGGAGAGTAAATCTGATTTCAAAAATAAATGTACAGCACACTCTGAGGAACAAACATCAAGATGCCTTTATGAGATTTCTAATTAAATTGGAATATTCCAGACTGCATTTGCTCTATTTACAAATGAAAAGGGATGTTTTTCTTCTAAACTGAGAGCCTTGCAAACTCGGGTACCGATCTCAGAGTCCTACTGCAGTCTTCTCATTCATACAGCATCAGCAGAAAGACTACTTGCAGCCACGGAGGGTACATTCACACCGCTAAGTTTCAATACCTAAGCTAGTTTCCTGCTCTAACTCGCCCTTGCAAGAAGTTTTCTTCTCCAGGGATTAGATAGAGAGCCTAAACACAGAGTAGCCTTTTAGCTTAGCTATTCAACCTGAAGTGGTGCAACCTTCTATCTAGGTTACAACTATACTTGCTGTCCAAATGTGAAGAGAATCCAGGTTATTTCTCCCACAGCTGTATTCGCTCTCTAGTTCTGCTTGGAACAGTGAGCATTCACTAAATAGAGCAGCAAATAATCCTTTATACAACTCTGAGCTAACACAGGCACCATCAGTTTAGTAAGATCCCATCTTTAACTTTTAATTTTTCAGACTAAATCTGGACATAAATAACCCAAGGTACTCCTAGTAACAGGTTCTACAACAAAATATACAACTTGAGTCATCTTGAAAAAAAAGGTTAATGTTTTCAAAACTGACAGAGAACACCAAGTACCATCTTGCAAGAATGTGTATGTCAGTGTTCAGGTGAGCTTCTGAATAGAAATATGTGCATCTGGGCTATGACGGGAAGGATGAATACACCTACGGTTTTCTTTCTTTAAAGATTTTTAGAAGTCAGTTAGAAAGCTGTGCTCACCTCCTTTAGCTTCCATAAGACATCTAATAGCTTCTTCTGCTTCCTCAGCTGTGGTGGTTTTGATCTGCTTGACGTTGTAAGGTTTACTTATTCCAGTCCGGACTTTAGGCTTTAAAAAAAAAAAAAAAATAGGAGAGTAAGTAACCTTAAGAGAACTTTCTTCTTGCACACCTGTAATCTTACAGCTGAGCTCACACACCTGTAAAGTTCTGGTTTTGCCGGTGGCTATTCAGCTATCTATAAATACTACAGAAATGGTGGGGCGTCTTCTGGCAGATACTACATCTTTGTTACCAGCTGACAGACAGGCCCACGGCTTACTGCCACAGCTAGTCCCTTAGCCATCCCTTGTTCAATACATGAGGGTTCTCATCCAACAGGACAGGAGTGGGGAGGTGTTCCCTCATTCCGGTCTTGGTCTCCTCAGAGGGCTAGCAGCCTGGCTGGCAATGGTCAAGACTTTTCCTGTATGCTGGGCACTAGCATGGCCCATCAAAAAAGAGGTGAGAAAAGAATTAAAGCACGTGATCACGGTGTTGAAAATTCAAGTTCCCATCTGTCAGAAAGCAGCACGTGGAATAAACCAACAGTGCCCTGGTCTTGCACCATTCTCTCTCTCCCTCTTTGGCCTTTCTAATTCCTGGCTATTTAAGAACATTTTTCTGGTGTCTAGCAGGTCCTACAGTCTAGTATTACATTACAACAGGGTCATCTTAGCATTTCCAGCTCAGGCACGTGATGGACTTCCTTCCTTGTATGACAGGTTGGTCATGTATGCGATGCTCAGTGTCTACAGCGTCTATCTAGAGGGGGGAGATCAGGACAATGCTAAGCGGCCGTGCTGAGTGGCAGGACTCACTGGCTGCTGAGGGGCTCCGGGTAGCAGCTTTGCCGTTGCCAGGATGGAGCAGCTGGAGTGGCTTCCTGGAGAGAGCGAACCATCTGAGGGGGGCTTTTTGCCTGATGTTCCGGCTGAAAGAGGAATTAAAATGGCTTTTTACATTCAAGAGCTGGTACAACATTTTATCTGCAATGGAGCAAACCCAATGTGCTTGAAATTGTTTGTGATAAATAAAAGAGATGCTGTCACCCTCCCTGCTCCTCCAGGGACAGAGATATTAGGCAAGACCTTCCTGTAGGACACCGGGGACCTTGAGTCCCTCTGCCTGAGTGCCAAGAGCAAGACGCTTTGATCTAGGAGGAGTGATGGGCTGAACTGTTACTGGTCTAATCTAAGGTGAAAAAATCTCAACACAGAATAAAATGCTGAAATCTTGAACTGTTTCAGGAAGCAGTTTCCTGTTAGTCTTGCTTTCATTTAATCAATTCAATAACCTCAGCTGAGCATTAACATTGGATTCCAGGCACAGAAATAGAGACACCAGCGTTGTCACTTCTGTGCAACAGACTCGGAAATGAATGGGAATAGCCCTGAAGAACTCATCTTCCAGCAGTGAGTCTGACAGAATGTTTAATTTAAGGCTGGAAAATATATACAGAAGAGAGACTTTTAGACTGCAAGAAAAACGTGATGTATAGCTTGTGTCATACGGAAGGCAAAGGTGATTATGCTGATCTAGCAATCAGCATTCGTCCAGAAGTAGCCATAAAAACAGGAGCAGCATAGCACTGATGGCATTTCAGGTGGGTAGAGCTTAGGTGAAGAGTGTCGCTTCACCTTTGTGCCTCACTGAAAATCATAAGCCACTTTGCATTTCTTTCACAAACACAAAAGCAAGCAAAGCGAATTGCTTGCAAAGCAGGAAAGGACAAAAACTGTCCAGAACAAATATTCTGTCAAAGCTTTTTAAAAGGAAGATTAAAATTAAGTCAGAAAAAAACAAACAGTAAGAAAACACTCAGTGGCTTTGGAAGTCAGCAGGCATAAATACTGATATTTATTTTTATTGCCACAAAGTGGCTGGTCCACTCCACGCTAACCTGAATGATGAGTCAGTATGAAACATATGGGCCATTCCATCCTCACTAGAGGCATTTTTTGCGGAGTATCTGTCATCCTAAAGACAAACTTCTTCTGTTGCTAACTGCAGCCATCGTCGGGCTCAAACAGACAGGGAAGCAAGTACAAGTACCTCAACAGCCTGACATTTCAGAACAAGGCATTACTTTCTTTGTCACCCAGAAATGGCAGGCAAAACTGTTCAGCTGGGGCCACACAACATTAAAGAAAGTCAAACTCACCAGGAGGGGGAGGCCTCTGCGGCGGCTGAAGTGGCCGAGGCCTGGTAGGAATGGACAGAGACCTGCTTGGAGTCTGGCGGCGGCATTCCCCACTTGCCTCCAGCTCTTGCTTCACATCGGCCAGGTCTGTATCATCTAGGGAAAATTTAGAAAGGATCTGTATTAGGTATCCGCTGGGTGAGATGCACCAAATCTGGGTGGTCAAGAGAGGCGATTGCGAAAGGCAAGCCTCAACCAGATATCTCAGCAACACGACATGGCTCTTTTCATACTGTTTTGCTCTCCCCGAACGTCGCCCTGCTCCCACTCCAGGAAACATCTACCCTTTTGTCAAACACTTCTCTCTCTCCTTTTCTAGCATTTATTGTTTGTGCCGACACAAAGACTGCCTGCATCCATTTCACGGTTACTAGTCACCTTGTTAGATTCTGAGCTTTTCACAGCCAGACTTGGCGGCAACCTGCTCTCATTCAAACCGTGTCATGGCAGCCACGAGGAGGCTAGTCACGATCAATCCCTTGCTCTTCCTTCCTGAACGCAGGAATTCCCTCTGAGGATTAGACAACTTTCCTTGCTAAGAACTGGTTTTTATGCCAGAGAAAAATCTACCTGAATGGCTCGTTCATCACATCTCTGCTTTCCAGCAACGTCTCCTAACAGGTACACCTGCCTCAAGCTGATCGCGCTTGGCTGCACCTTACATCTGTAGGCTATTACACAGTCTTTCATCCCGTCTAAGACTCTCTGACAGCTGGAGAGGTGAGAAGTAGGGATTGCTTTAGTCTCCCCGTCTGCTGAAGTGAGGGCTTTCGCTTCAGATCTCTCACCTCCCTTCCCTGCCCAGCCATGCAGCTGTGGGCTCCAACTAAATCCACTGGGTTTAGTTTTGTCCTGTGGTTTGGAGAGGATGGGGAAGGAATTGTGGTAGCAGCAGTCTCTCATACTTCAGGCATTTTTACACAAGTTCCTGTTTTTCAGAAAGGTGTGCTCTGCAGGGAATACTGAGCTGCCTCACAGTTTCCTACTCCCACTCAGCAGCAGATGGTGGCCACAGAGACACAGCCTGTGATCTACCCAACCTGCCCTCCTCCTTCTCTCTGCATTTTCAATACTTCTAAGCTGCAGATATGGGCTCATCGGTAGGATCCAAGGAATCATGCAGGTGCCTAAATGCAGGGCTTGCAATTCTGGCAGTAACACTGAACACAAGTCAAAAACCAGCCACCACCACTCTATCCCTTCCCCTAAAAGGCTGCTGGTTTTAGGCAACAGCTCCCAGGGACATCAGTTTTGTGAGGCTATGCCCTCCTCTGACCTCAGAAACACACATACACGCTGTTCTGCCCGTCTCTGGTTTCCATCTGTCTAACACCAGCTGTACAATCATCATACCTTTGATTAGGAGTTACTCGGGCAGAATTGGAAGCTTATGGAGGCATCTGAAATTGCAGAGACTTTCAAGATGGATTGAATATATCATATTCTGAGTTGTGTGAGATCACAACCCCACCTTGACCTCCTTCAAACGATACTTTATAATCTCCATTTACTTTGTGATATTTTTTGTGGAGAAGAGTTAGTGTGGGTGAAAAGAATCACTGCAATTCTCTGTAGCTTAATGAATCATCACACAGTAGGCCAGAGGTGTTTGGAGGGCAAGGCATCCTATAATACAAAGTGATTGGCTTCACAGTATTTAATAATGACAGATTACTCCTTGGCTCAGGGCTAGGTTTCTGGGTCTGGCCACGCTGCACCCAGCCTATGACTCAGGTGGGCAAGAAAGCTGTATATCACTCTGATTGTTTGGAAAATCTGTCTGTGTAAACTTACGAATTTCATTTAATCTTTTTGAACTCTACTTCTGATTCAACCTTTGAAGGTATTAAAGTTTCCACTTTTATGTCAGAAGACAAAGCACTTCTGAGAGACTGCAGAAAGATGGCTACTGAATCACTTGCTGTCATGCTGAAGTGTTTAATATGTGACCCAGCCTGTCAATGCTTGGTCACCGAAGCATGTCCTGATCACATCCCAATATAAGACCACCACTGGCTTGGCTAGTTCTTGCTGCAGTTTTTATCTGTATTCTCTTCACAGCTTTATCTTCTCTTTACCAAGTCATTTCACAATAATATGCAAACAAGCCAGGTGACCAGGAAAAAAGGTAACACATTTATGAAGCACTAAAAGAATGAATATACCTGTTGTGTGAACCTCGACTTCTTCAGTAATAAATAAAATAGGAACAAAGGAGCAACTTTAGGTTTCTTTGAAGTAAGTCATTTGAACACAACAACCTCCTGGACTGTCCAGCTTACACCTGACTGCACTGCCACAGCTATTGCTCAAAGGACAGGGCCAAGCCCATCACTGAATCAACAGGATTCCGTTGGTTTGATTTTGCTCTGGCCCTCACCAATAAGAAAATAACAGACAATTTTTTGTTGTATGCTCTGGTGCCAAACAACATCAAATGGATAAAAAGACTTAATTTCTATAAAAGGAAACCAGCATTTTTCAGCACTCCTGCCTTGCCCTGGGCTAAAGAGAAGGAGGATCTAAGCTTTATTATTTGTATTGCTGTTATGCCTGAGGGCCTCAGTTACAGTCACTAACTCAAGGGGCGTTGAGCACTGTATGAACATGTACCAAAAAGATGATCCTTATCTTTAGAGGACCTACAATGAAAATATAAATGAACAGGGAAATAGAGACAAAAGGAGAACAAACAACAAACCTTCAGGTCTTACTTTAAGGAATGTAGGTAATTTACCTTTATACAGCCGTGGGTTTTGTCCAGATTTGTTTGAATGACCCATGGATGCGAAGTGTCCACAGCCCTCAGGCATATCTTCTGCTGTGTCTGCTACTAGGTGCTGACACAAAGCATCATCTAAATAATCATCTTCATCCTCCACTACATCACCTGAATTAAAATATTAGGTAACAAAGACTTAGTGAGCAAATGCATTCTCTGTCTCTCTCTACTACCAATCAATGAATTTAATATAAGCGTTGGGCAAGCTTCTTGTGTAACCCGTGTGCTTCATTACAGTTTTTTTCTCTACAGACAACTGTACCATACATTGGATTTGCTAACATATGTTGTAACACTAAATTGATAGGATCATCTAAGCAACAGTTCTCTGCCCAGGCACAGTGCTGGGTCATGGCTTTAGTTACAATACTCTTCTTAAGAAGTGTGGCTTCATTACAAATTAAGATACCACTAACACTCATACTGTACCTTCTCTGTGCAACCAAAGTCAGCGAAGCAATTTCTCACAACTTAGCTTAGAAACCTGCTGCTCACCTTCTGAGTCATAGTCCAAACTTGAGAATTCAAAATTTTCTTCCAGAAGACAGGAGTTTGCCGTGGGGGACATGGGGGCAATGCTGTCCCGTTTTCGAGCAATTTCCTCCTGAAGGCCCTTTAGCCAGTCCTTGGTCTTGGGCCGGATCTTCACTGTTCTGCCTCTGACCTAATGCAAAGAAAGAACTGTTTCCCCTTTGCCAAGCAACTTCACAAAATGAGAACACCTGAATAGAATAAGCAAGTGCTGCCAGTCTATTGTATAACTGCTTCAGAAACTGATATAACTAAAGCTTCATTTCAGAAGCTAAATGAAAAGGAAGTGCTCTTCCTATCCCCATAACCAACTTTTCAGACTCTAACAATGTTCTTGAAAGAAAATTAGTTTCACAGCTCAAAAGCACTGCTGCTGCATTTGGGAAATACTTGAGAAATAGGTGAAACATCAAATATCGTCAAAATGATACTGTGATAGTAATAATGGTGTGGGAGGGTTCCATTTTTGAGTCAGTAGCTTTCAAATACACAAGAATTTGCTACCTGATGCCATCTGTAAGGAGACTCTCTGCTCAGAAAATCCCAAATATGATGGTTGATGTGTATAGAAAGTACATTATTAAACAGATTAAGACCACAGCTACTTATATGTGTTGCTCCATGACATTTGGGGTGAGATGTATCCAAGGCAGCAGCTTCAGCAGCAAAATTACTTTGGAAAGTTCCTGAATCAGGTTCCCAGCACCTTCACACATTGTGCACATACAATTGTGTTTGGGTCTGTGCTATAAATTACATCAATGAAATGAGCCAAATGAATAGATAAAACTCCAAATATGAAAGAAGAATGAGGTTTAAATCCATTACTTCAATGTTAAGTTTATAGTGCAGCCCCACAAACAGTTTTGTCAGCGTAAGTGAGGGGGTTGATGAATTGTAGAGTATGTGCGTGGGAAGGAAGAGCAGGGGATGGGAAGGTAAACGCCTACTGCTAATGCCGAGTTTGCCATGGAGGCCAATGAATCGTGTTGTTCCAGCTTGGTAGAAGGAGTTTATTTGATACACTTAAGAGAAACAAAAAGTCTCCAAACCACAATCGTGAGGATGCTTTGGCAACAGTATAAAGTCACACATAATCTCAGGAGAACTGCTTCAAGACCCAGAACAACGACCGAGTCCATGTATTCTGCAGTGGTATCAGAGGCCAGATACTAAGCACTGCTCAGGAGCTCCAAGAAAAGTCACCTCTTCCCTCCTGAAACTGAAATACTGCATTAAAAGCCTCAGCAGCTGTGAAAGCTAAGGACTTTGTGAGCACTAAGTCTCTAAAATAATGCTACTTGATTTAGCTAGAAACAACACTATCTCATTCTAAGCAACCACTTTTGAGAAATTTGTTATGAAAGTATTATTATAGGTTTGAGAGAGTCTTACTTTGACACCATCTATATCCATAACACGAAGAGCTGACCTGCTGTCTGCAAATGTCACCAGCATTTGACCTCCACTGATCCTAGTAAAAAAAGGCAGAGGAGAGAAAACAGTACATTTTACTTCACCATTGAATGAAAAGCCTTAAAGGCAAGCATGATAGTTTTGTACAGCTATGTATTTGGTTTTAGTTGTATTTTCCTCACAACTCTATTTTTTGGGGAGGAGCAAGTGATCTATGAATCCCAGTTGGACTCTTCCTCTCCCCCATCCTCCTTTGTGTGACCCCAGCATCCTGCCCTCCTGAAGCAGCAGTACAAACATCTCAGCAGCTGTTGACAGGATACCTTGTCTGATATCCACACTCCCTCTGTACTAACTTCCATGGCTCTGCACATCCCTCACCTCAGAGGACGTGATGTTCCCAAAGACTAGTATACCATCAAGATCTAAAGCAATTCAAAACAAAACAAAACAAAAACACCAAAGCATGTTCTTTTCTTGCTCCTTTTCTTCACAAGCAAAGTGGTGCTGCTGTTCCTGCAGGTCTGCTTTTGAACCCTCAACTTATATTTGGTACTTCATAAAACCATACAACAACAGGTCATCAGTTTTCTCCATTAAGAAATGGGTCAAATACAACATAAACAAGTTTCTGGTCTTGTTTCCCAGGTCAACTGTCAGGTCTTTTGCCTGCATTTCTCAAAATGGAAGTCTCATAACTATGCTGGAGCCCTGTACAGAATCAACCAGAATGAAATTAAACTGCTCTGCCAGAAGGTATCGCACTCTCCCTCTCAAACTGCGAGAAGCCATACTATTAAAAAATAAGCAAAATGACCCCCAAAAGAAAGGAGAGCCAGCCAGGAAGAAATCCTAGTAAGTGCAAAAGAGTGCTGGAAGAGAGCAGACCTGCTCAGAGTAAGTGAAGCAGGGCCCCAAGGACCCGCCAGCAGAAGCAATGCATGGAAATGAGGCCTGAATCTAAAGGTGATGATTCACATCAAAGCCTCTGCTTTATGGTGCTGTACCGAATAAAATTCCCCTCCACTCAGCCAAGAGAGCTGTTAGACTATTTGTTTAACAGGCTGACGAGAGGTAAATGATATTCAAAATACTTGTATTCAATTTCTAATGAAGAATTCAACATGCAGTAAAGGAATTCAGCATACTACTTTCTAATACAAAGTTAATTCTGTCAGGACAAAAAGGGAATTTCTAGTCTGTGTTTTTGAATAGATGACATGCCATTTCAGATCCCAAACTTACCTGATCAGAACAATAGTGCCATAATCCTCAAACATTTGCATAAGCTCTGTACGCAAGTCCTCAGGAAATTCATTTTTCTCTTCAGGCGTTGATGATAGCAGATTTACCACTACTGTGGCATCCAGTGGTCCCTGGAAAGATGACACTTCCTGGAAAACACTCTCACGGGCAGCTTGATTAACTTCCTGAACTTCCACTTCTACAATAGCTAACACTGGCCTACAAGAAAAAAAAGGAGAAATGCTTCTTTAAAATTAAGATCAACATCACCCAATAGGAAATGCTTATGTAAAATTAAAATCAATGTCAAGCAGTAGGACACGTAAGAACTTAGTGGTGTGAAGGACAAACAGTGTCTTGTTTAAACTCTATACATCTATGATAATTTTTAACTCCACGATGTCAAATCTCATTGCAAATATTTAATTCAGCCATAGAAGGAAGTGATTGTTATGTATGTTCTACACAGAAAGAGGAGCGGAACAAATTACTTAAGGTCTTACTGCAAAAAAGCACTGTGGCTGGCAATACAACCCAGAAATTCAGAGTCTGGTGGATTGTTTCATTTTTGCTGCAGTGGAAGATCATGCCTGGAGCACTGTTAATTACATTTACCAGCCCTGCATTAGCTGAATGTAACAGTGAGGACACACCATAAAGGAATTCAAATGACAAGTGTGTGTAGCACTTCTGGCAAACCTGCAGTCTAAAAATACCAGGATGCTTCACTCATTATCCAACAGCTGTCTCCCAAAACATCTATAGATCGGGAAGGCAATATATTGTTTTCTGTTAGACAAGGCCACATAAAGATGTCTTCTTCCAGAAACTAAGGACAAGGTACTCTAAGTGTATAACGTGGTTATGTAGCAAACATATGTCAATCCATCACATTATAAGCAGTCTATACTGCAAACTTGCTTCTTCAGCCATTTCTTACAAATGACCTCTCTGTGTGTTAGATCTAAATAAAATTGAGAAAGCTGTCTGAAAGAGTAAAGCTTGTCTCATCTCAGTGGATGCAATCCACATTCTTAGATTTTACACACAAAGCAGTAACTGGGATGGCTGCTCTTCTAACTATGTCAAAATTGCTGCCTCCTACTTGCAATAGAGCAGGCTCTGGAATACGCATTACCAGAGCATATGAAAGCAACAACAGCAGAGCTAGAAAGGAATAGTAAAGGGAAAAAAAACATATAGGAAGTGTTAACTATTTCTATAAGCACAGTGAATCATAATGCATTTCCATATGTCTCAAAGATATAGCTAAGCCCTTTTTCCAGCACAAACCTTGGGAAAGCAAACCTGCTGACTATAATTAAAAAGCAGTTTTTGCAGTCACGTTTGCTGAAATAGAAAACCCATGTACGACAGCCATGTTTCACAGATTGCATCCTCAGGGTCCTATATAATGAGTGCAGCAGTTCCACCGTTCTTTGTGGAACACAGCAATGTCAAAGCCTTGACACAGAGAAATTGATTGCAGGAGGCATGTTCTTCCATTGCTGGAGGAATACAGAACAGTCCTTGCATGCAAAAGCACCATGAGAAGCCCAGGGCCAGCTACTGTGGCTCACTGAGCGCCGCTATGAGGAACAGTATTGTAGCATTTCCATAGGGCACAGAAGGGGTGAGACAAAGATTATTCTGAATGCAAGGGAGCTTTCAAGGTGTATTTATTACAGAATTTGTTTCAGAGAAGTGAAGCGGTGACAAGTTTAACAAAGAAAGGTCATTCATATCCCTAAAGAGAAGTTAGTGATATGGACCAACCAGAGACAGTGGTCTGTTTTCTCCTCCTTCTCCCATCTCCATTTCTAAGGGAAGCCCAGAAGCCCAACGCTTCACTACTCTGAAGAGGTCACACCTGGCCCTATGTACATAGCTTATACCTCTTCAGGCCACACAGTCCCAACCTCCTCCTCTCCCACAGCAAGCTGAGTGGGAGTCCACCAGAGCAGCAGAAATCAATACAGGACCATAGATACTTGCCACCCTGGTATAAAACCCACCATGAGGGGAAAAAAAACACCAAACAGATACTGAACACAGAATAAGGGTGTAATTCCTGTTACAATCAGGCTCGGTCCCTCACTCTGAAGGTGTAATTCAGTATGACGCATTCTAACCTAGCAGCCCTTTCTCTGATTATTTGCTTAGGACTTTACCTGTGGTCAGATGCCTGCAGCTCTGCTCTCCCATAGTACATCAAGGCGCCAGGGGTCCAGGTGTGCCTGACTTTAGTTTCAGCATTCAGATCACTGTCTAGAAGATTGATCTCTCCAGCTATAAAGCACAAAACATGATTTAAAACTCACTCAAAGCTAGTTTTACTAACAGTTAAAAGCTATTTTATTAGGATGCACTTCACAGACCCTAGTAGTGGGAGGTGGTGGGTTTTTGTTCTTGTATATACCATTCAAAGCTTGTATCCTAAAAGATTTACAAGTTAGGGACTAGGAAAAAAAAAATACAGAAAGGACAGGGAGTACAACAGAGACAGCTGATCACTAGAATAAGACACCTGCAAAATGGTTAACCTGAATGTCACACAATCAATTACCTGTACAATCTGGGTCGACAGAGTCATATTAGTATTTTAACTCCTGACCCATTATTGAGCATAGAAACAGACACTGTACCGGCAAAATACACCGCAAATCTGAATAATGCGCAGGGATTGGAGAAATAATACACAAAAGATGGGAGAAAGCAAACCCATGCAAATCCAACCTCCAAACACTTTGTTTGCAATGCATTAAGGTGACAGAAAGTGCTCCAGACATTATGCTAGAGTGAGGTATTATATTGCTGTCAATAACAGGAAAGTTTTTAGGTCGCTGTTTGGGCTAAGGGATAACTCTCTCTCTTTTCTGTGCAGTTGCAAATGAGTTAATATGGAATATGGCATTTTGCCTAATCACCCGCACTGGGGCTACACTTTCTTCTCAGAAGGCAAATAGTCCTCTGAGAAGTCCTCAGTCCTCTGGCCAAAGCAGCAAAAAGAAGCAAGGCAAAAGAATTAGAGCCAAGAGGCAGAAGAGCCTTGCCACCAGCAGTAAAGGAGAGGAACTCTGGCAGCGAACTAATTAGAAAAGCTTTGCGGGGCTGGGAAGGCGGACAAACAGACAAGGGGTCAGTTATATACCCACGTGAGCTAGCTGTGGGAGGCCTGCAAGCTCTAAAGAGAGGAACCTGCCTCAGCTCTTGCAGACCAGCTAGATAGGTCCTACGTTCTGTGTGTACTCCATCAACTAAAGTCCTCCCAGGGGCAAGCCTTGCCATGCAAAATAAGGAATATGCATTGAAAATGCTGAAGGGTCTTCTTTCTCCCAAAATGAAAACCCAGCACAAGAGGGCTGTTTTAACTTATTATGTCTCATACAGTTTTTCTTTCCCAGACTACATCTCTGTCAATGGTTTAAGCTCCCCATTTTACTTTATTTTTCATTCCTTAAATAAGAGTGAATAACTCTGTATCACATTGAAACGTACTCTCTGATGCCCTAGTTTTGCTTTGTAGTTTTTACACTTAGTGTACTCATGGTATGACTTGGATTCCAAGCAGTAGTTCCCAGGCATGTGAAAAATCACATCCGCAGGCACAAACCAAATTACTTCTCCAGCGATTACACTTTTAATATGAATTTGTTCAGATTTTATGAACTTTGGTAGATAGATGTACCTGCAGACTGAGAGAACGGTTATGAAAACTGTCCCTGGATACGCAAAGAAACACTTTTTATTTTGTTATTGTAACTTTTGATTAACAAGTGAAAACAGCCCTTCTGTTGTGCTGGCCACTCATGATCGCAAAGTACTTTATAAGCACTAATTAATGAAATCTCCCCCAATTCCAGAAACTAGCAGAAATATTCCTAAGAATTACCAAGGCAGAAGAAATTACAGAAAAGTGCTTATACATCTACTGAGGACAACAGTTATAACAATCTAGCCGTTATAACACGGGAACTTTATGCGGACTAATGATTCTGTTAAAAAACAACAGAGTAATTTCTAGGTTGCTACAGCTGGATTGTTTTCGATTCCTCAGCGAGCTCCCGGCACCTTTTCAATCTGTAGCGTGAAGCCTTTGTTCACACGCTCAAGAAGAAAGGGCTCGCTCTATCTCTGCACGTTATTCCAGTGAAGCTGAAAGAACATCAGCTTGAGTAAAGCTACTGCAATTTGACTAAGCCTACGGGCACATCTAAAGACAGCTCTCAGCCCAGAACTCACTAACTCCCTTCCTCACCGTTCACTAAATTAAATCCCCTTATGTGGGTTCTGGAAGAAATCTAAAACAACTTTCAGATAAAGAAGGAGGAAAGATCCTACGCACCTGTTTTTTCAAAAGGCAGTTTCTTTCTCCACCAAAGCACTCTGTCAGTCCAAGCTGGGGTTCTGCACTTATCACTTGTATCATAAGCCTCTGAGCCAACGTCATATTTATATGTTGGTCCAAAATTAATAGTCCCTTCATGGAAGTCTTTAAAAATCTATGAAAAGAAATACCATCTCTTTGATTAAGTTACAGACGAGGTAGGTGCCATTGTGACGTATCAACGTCCTTGCAAACAAACAACATTCTAATTTTTAAACAAATTACTACATTCATGTACTACAAACACGGGTCTGAAAATGCAACTTTTTCACTCTCTCAAGGAATTAGACCAAGCCAACATGCAGGTATTCAAGAAAATGAGACACACTGCCTTACTTTTCCACTGGATTTTTGCTGTTGTAGTTGATCAAATTCCAAGAGTGTCTTCCAATCTTGACGTTTGAGAAAATAAAAGACTTCCTCATATGTTAGATCAATGCGATAGTTAAAATCACCACACCAGAAGACATAGTCATGTGAGAACACACTCCGCCCCTAGTTTAGAGGTACAGAATACTGTTAACGTTAAGTCACATTCATGAAAACACCTTTTAAATGCACTGAAATGTACAGCTCCATCTCTCTGAATTACGAAATACCAGACCTACTTGCCACATTCTATTTGTTAAAATCCATCTTGTGCTAAAATGGAATGGTTCTTTCACTGTCTTTTGCAACCTGCTGAGCTGAATTTTGTAAACAAGAGTGTCAGACTCTGACCCCTGTTTCCAGAACGTATGTCTAAGCCGGGACACCAGCTTTATATTCACAATTTGGCTATAATGAATATTAAAAATACGTTTGTTTCCCTAACGTATTTCACACACATATATTTACATATTCTAAATATAACACAAAATGTGCTTCTGGTATCAAGGCACATTCAGCAACAAAGGTCCTGAGTAAGAACAAGCTCCAAATTTGATGTTATGTGCACATCATAGTTTTGTAAACGTATTGAAATAGAACAATGAAAGTCAATGAAAATTCACTCCAATTCTAAGTTTAACATCCTATCCTCTAAACAGTCTTTTTTTTTTTTTTTTTTTTTTAAGCTAAAACCCTC